CGCCCGCTGCAGGCAGAGCCCAGCTCGTGGGCAGGTGCTGGCGCAGGGGAGTGAGGCGCGTTCAGGCCCAGGACCCAGGAAAACGGTGCACCCCATCCCACAGAGCACCCCTTCCTGCTGGAGGAGGAGGTTCTTGTGGGGAGGGGGGCTCTTTCCTCTCCAATGACCTTGCCAGCCTTTGGCAGGCCAGGCCCTGGGGGCCTCGTTCTGGCCTTTTTCCAAAGGCCTGGTTACCGTCTGGCTCCAACCATGCGAGGCCTGAGCGCCAAGTGAACCGGGGCCTGCGGCTGGCGGAGGGTTCCCACGAGCCCTCCCAGTGGGGCACAGGGCCAGAAAGCCCTCAGGGGTGACACGTGGGCCAATGTCAGCCGTGTTGTTTGTCAGTTGTCCCTCATTCCACCACCATTTTGTAGACGGGGACGGAAGTTTCCCAGGCACCAACAGGACCACAAGGGTCTCAGCCTGGGCCGGTTCAGGCCCCTCGGGGCGCTCGCTGACCCCCAGGGCACAGGTGTGTTCTCACCTCTAAGGCTGTGCAGCCTCAGCCCCGCTCCCTCCTGCTGGGGCCCCAGCTGCTCCGCAGTCGGTTTGCTGCTGCCCGCTGCCCGCCCTGCGTCCCTCCCCACCCTTCTTCGAGGAAGCCAGGGCTCTGGCGTCCCCTCTGGGGTCCCCCCTGCTCCCTGGTGGCCTGGCCTGACCCACCCTGTTACAGAAATACTCAAAGAAGATAGTCCCTGGATAAGGCCACTGTGTCCTTCATGCAATCAGGAAAAAAACAAATGCCAATGCAGGACTTTAAACACCAGTAAGCCAGGCTTGTTGCTGGGGATTGAACAGGTTTATTAGGAAAACAGAGAAACAGGTCCCGCGTGAAGGTCGGAAGGCTGGACCCCTGACATCCTCATCCCACAAGAGACCCCCCAGGAGTCCTCAGCACGGGCTCCCCACGAGCTCTGTCTCCTGATCAGACTCAGGAGAGAGGAGGAGGTCGGTGTGTCTCACACGGAGGGCCCTGGAGCTCACATCCGCAGTGAGGCTCAGAGCCCAGGGCTTCCAGACTGTGGACCCCGGAGTCCAGGCGTGGGGGTGGGTCTCCCATGTGTCCTCAGTAGTAGCCCCAGCCAGAGCCATAGCCACAGCCGTAGCCACAGCCGAGCCTTCGGTAGCCGTAGCCGCAGCCCAGGCCTCCGTAGCCCCAGCCCAGGCCTCCATAGCCGCAGCAGCCGTAGCCGCGGCCTCCGTAGTAGTTTCCGTAGTAGCCACACATGGTGCTGGCGGTGAGGGTGTCGTTGGGCAGAGAAGGGCTGTGGGTGGTGAGTGCAGTGTGCCTGCTGCTCCCTGCAGGGGCCTTTTATGTGCCCCGGCGTGGGCGGGACCCAGCGCATGGGCTCACGCCATTGGCTAATCCTGTGTCTAAGCTAATGAGCTTGTTGTTTCTCAGCAGGAAGGCAAGGCCTCCCAGCTCCACAGAAGGAGGGTGGAGGCCGTGTCTCTGGGAGCCTGCTTGCCCCCCAGTCTGCTCCGAGCAGAGGGGACCTGACTCAGGCACAGGGGCGCCGCCCTGCCCTGAGGGGGCCTAGCCAGTAACCCCTGTAGCATCTCTACATCAAAAGAACACCTTGGTTAATCTCACTGCTATTTGCTCCTGGCCCCAATTAGTTTTCCTATTTTTTAAAAAATATTTTGTGAGAATAGCCCTTCTTTGGACCCATGAATTTGTCTCTTCTTTATCCAAATTAATTATCTGCGGGCATTGAGTTCCTTTTCTATTCTGATGCCGCATTGTATCCCTCACCCCATGATGCTGATAATAATCCAACTAATTAACGTTCTCAAAAAGCCACGTCTGAGCCATTATCCTTTCCTACTCTTCGTAATGACTATAATTTTCTTTTATGTGTGATTTCTGCGGAAGGGCTGAACCATGGGAGTTATTCCTTGGGTTACATGTCCCTGCAATTTTTCTTAAATGGAATACACAGTTATAGAAATTAGTGTTCTCATTAACACGAGACTTACAGTAAAGTAACTATCCAATGGGCTGAATGCCATACGTTTCTGTGTATCTGCATGGTAGGTCTCCTCGTCGAGACCCCCCCCCCCACTCATTTTCGCTGCAGCCGGTCCCGCTCAGTTGCTCTGCACAGACCCAGCACCAGCGCCATCTGTGTTCTCGTTGTTGTAACAACCCCTCCCACGGGGGCACTGGGAGGGGAGAACAGTTTCACAGGAGAGAAGAAATGGCCGGGCATGTGTTTCAGAGAATGGCTGTGGGGTGGCGTTCATTCCACAGTGAGCCACGGTCCGTCAGCAGGTTTCGGTAGATCTGATGTTCCTGAGGCAAACGCCCTTCACGAACCACTCGTAACCTCTGGTGGACACAGAGAGCTCAAGGTGTTGGACGCACCCTGTGTTTTAGTCAGTTCTCCTCATAAGACAGAGGACACAGTTTTAAAAAAATTTCCCCAGTTCTCCTGTCTTGATAAGTAGTACATGTAATGAGTCAAAAAATTCCCATTAATAAAGGAGGACGTTGAATGCGGTGGACCCGGTGAGACGCACTCAGCTCTCCGCCCACAGGTGTCTGAGTGTCTCTGTGTGTGTGTTTGGATCAGTCCCTGTCTGCAGATCGGACGAGGGCCGGGCTGAGACGTTCCTATCAGAGCACGCCTCACTACGTGATTTCGCCTTTCCCAGAGGGAGGTGAAGGGGCCTCGGCCACGATGGTGCAGTCACTAAAGCAGTGACTCAGAATCAGCTTCCAGGAACAATTCGGTCAATTTAAATAACACGGTGATCAGCCTTCCTCTAGGCTAAGTTCTCAGAAAGTCACTGAAATTGCTGTGACTAAGCTGCAGAGGTCGATTTAAAAAGAAAACTCCATTTAACTTGGACAAGTTCTTGGTATTTGATTAAAGTAGCTATAAAAGACATTATTATCTTTATGGAATACAGTGTCCCTATTAATAACATTCATTACGTTACATCTCCGTGGATTTACTTCCTTGAGTTCATCTGATTCTTCTTAAGAATTGAGTTGCTCTTTCTAATCATAACAGTGACAGCACTGCAGCCAATGAGATTTCTACTCTCATTTTCTGAATTGTATTTAGTTCTTAAGTACATCACATAATCAAAAAGAGAACAAAACAGTCTCTTTGTCTCCATGACTGTGCCCAGCTACCACCTGGTTTTCCTCCCGTTTCATTGCGGAGCCCCCGCCCCCACACGCATTTCCGAGGCGGATTCTATTCTCCTTTTATCCCCTTTTCCCCGCCTTTCGCCCTTGGTCTCACCACTCTGCCCAGACGGCTCCCCCCGGGGTTCTAGAGGTCTGGCCCTCTCCATGTTACTGGGGCTCTGAGAGAGCTGGGGTTCGCCAACATCCCCTCACTTCCCAAGGCTCCCGGGCCCTCGCCCGCATCCTGCAGGCACGTTCGGTTTGGTCCCAGCATGCCCGCCGCCCCGGTCAGTGCCCTGCTCTGCCCGCTCCTTCGGACCGTCCTCTGAGGCCAGGGCACCTGGCGGCGGCGTGGTGCGGGCCCCACCGTGGTGCTGGCCCCCAGTCGTTCTCACGCCCACTCTCCTTAGAGGGAGCAGCAGGGTGCAGTGCTTCAGCCAGTGCCTCTCTGTTCACTTTGACCCCCACCTTTCAGGGCCGCCGGCATTTCCTGCCGCTGCTCCATCTGGCATGCGCGCCCAGGACGGTCAGTCGGGGCCTCATCTGCGCCCTTCGCTGCTCCGGCCCGAGCGTTCAGAGCAGCGAGGGACAGACCTGCTCCTTGAGTCAATGCAGCCTAGTAGTGTGTTAAATTCTCCCTTCAACTGTCTCATTTTGAAATTACTTTATTTACCACCTGCTCAAAAATAGTGAGAACTTTACCCTGTCCCCTTCACCCAGTCACCCAGGCTACGATCTCTCAAGACCGAGCACAACGATCCAAACTAAAAAATTAACCTTGTGCAACATTCTTAAGGAACCTCCACCCTGTATTTGGATTTCTCACTTTTCCTGCTACCAGGCTTTTTATTCGTCCTGGGATCCAGTCCAAGATCCCACTGGGATCTAAACCCATGTTGGTTCGCCTCGTCTCTTTAGTCTTCTTCAGGGGTGACAGTGTCCCAGTTTTTCTCTAACCTGCATGGCAGTTTGAAACGCCAAGTGTGTGGAAGGTGTGCGTGTATTTTCTCACAGCGAAGCGGAGGGCAGAGATCTGGCACAATGGCAGCAAAGAGACGACCCGGTGTGTTTTCTCGTAGCGGGAGGTGTCAGTAATTCTCCGACAGTTTTTAGAGCAGGTTGTTAAGCTGGGGTCACTAATAAGACAAATCCTTCCACTTCTGTGTAATCGTGGTCCATGGATTTGAACTTCAGGGACTCTGTCACGGCTTTTGGTCGCACACAAAGTGATGGAGGCGCATGTGTGTGATGTGGAAACCCAGGGGAAAAATGTCGCTCCACACACAGCCGGTGCCCCACGCCGACCGTTGGAGGGTTTGGAGCTGAGCCGGCCGCGTCTGCCCGCGCCTTCGTCCTCCTTCTCGTCTTCTCCGCCAGCTTTCCGTCCTCACCCGCCTCTTTGAAGCCACACTCTGTTCCCACCGCTGCACGTTGGCAGAGAAGAAGAAGATGTCATTCAGGGGAAAAAAGAATTTCCCAGGGGTGGAACCTGTGTGGGTTACATGACCTCACGGTAGCTGGTCATGATACAGTGTAGATTTCACGTCTGGAATGAATGAGCCGCCCGACGGGAAGAATCCTTCACGGGAGGCACGTGACTGCATTAGAGGCGCCCGGCGCGCAGCAGTGTCCCTCCGCCCGTGCCGGTTTATGAGGAATTCTTGAGATGGTTATCGTGCCGGCGAGTTTGAGCATGAGGTCATCAGTGTTTGTGGTTTGTCCCACATCCACCCAGTTGGTATATAAGGCCCCGCGTTGACCATGAACTTAGAACATTAGTAATCGACTCTGCTCCTCTACTGAGTCTGCTTCTCACACCATGACCTTCTACAACTACTACGGTGGCCTCGGCTGTGGCTATGGTGGCCTTGGCTGTGGCTATGGTGGCCTTGGCTATGGCTACGGTGGCCTGGGATGTGGCTACGGCTGCGGCTGCAGATATGCCTGTTACCGTCCCTGCTACTATGGACGGTACTGGTCTTCTGCCTTCTTCTGAGGCGTTCTGGGCTGTTCCTCTGTTCAGGACATTCTCTCGTGAAGGACTCCGTGCAGCTCCGGCACTAATTGTTTGTTCAAACGATGACATCTGAACCTTCAGCTGCCACGCAACATCAGAACCTTTGTGACTGAAATGACCTGAGTTTCCAAGAGTTAGAAAAACATTCATGTGGCCGTGTAATGTCATGGGATTGGGCACAACGAATCCGAACCATGTCCTTTGGAGACACGTGTCCGTTCGTCTCCCATTAAAGGCGGTCTGCTTTGCACACCCACCACGTCTGCCCGTGTGTTTGTTTACTCGGACTCTCTGTGTCTGCGTTTGCGTCCGCGATGGCCGGCCGGCCGGTTACCCACAGTTGGCGGCTGCGGTAACGTTCAGTTGTCCAGCTGAGCAGTTACGTTCAGCCGGCGCGCCTGGGGCATGTGTTTTGGGACCAGTTCCGAGGCCCACGGTCGGCTGCACTGATGGGATGGGAGCCTCATCTTTGGTGGAGTGGTGGGCACCTCTCACCCCTTCACTCTATTTCTTTAGCATTTCAGCTTTTCTTAATAGGGGAACGTGCCTCTGGGCAGAGGCCTCTTTTTCTTCTAAATTTTATATTGTTGCCATTTCTTTCCACTCACTGGAAATAGATTCTTGAACGTTCATGCCTCGTAGCTGCTCAGACGGCAGCACTCATGCATCATCACAGGCCGTGTGGAATCGAGGTCTGTTTCAGCAACAGGGGCCGGAGCCTTTCATCCTGCATCACAAGGAGCGGGCGAGCCAGGCTGTCCACGCCTGCCCCGAAATACAGGCTGCCGGGCGGAGCCCTGGCCTGCGTGGGCTGGGTCCTGTCCAGAAAGCTGTGCGCAGTAAATTCTCCTAAGTCTCTCCATTCACGATTAAGTGCTAATAATAATGCCAACAGTGATAAAATATAAGTCAATTACATTTATTAGTGTGTTAGTAACTAATTTTCGGATTGGGGGTATCTAGGACAATGAGCTCATGGAAAACTACTTTCTGAATAGAGATTCAAGTATGAGACTGACCCAAAGCCCACCCTGCGCCAAGGGCACACTCTCTGGAAGCTTCTAGAGGAGAGACTTTAACGGATGTGTCTTCCTGCACCAGTTGAAGACAGACAACGCATGGGATTATGTGTGATTGCAGTTCTTAAAATGTATTGGCGCTTGTTTTTTTTCCTAGCATGTGATCTATTTTGGAGAACATTCTCCATGGATACTAGAGAGAAATTCGTGTTCTCTTGCAGTTGGGTAACACACTCTCCAGAAGTGTGTCGGGTCTAATTGGTTTATACTGTTTCTCGAGTCTGTTTATACTGTGACCTGCATAGCTGCTCTGTCCATTACTGTAATCTGGACATTAAGGCCCCCAACCCTGACTAGTGCAGTCTCTCTCTCTCTTGATTCTGTCAATTTTTGATTAGTGTATTCTGGTTACACAAATCAAAAAGTGTTTTTAGGTACAGATTGATTTTAAATGGTCATATCTTCCTTATTGATTACCTTTTTATTATTACAAAGTGTCCCTATCTCTTTGAAAATTCTTTGTTTTAAAGTCTATTTAAAGACTTACGGCCAAGATGGAGGCGTAGGTAGATACACTGCCTCCTTGCACAAACAAAAGGGCGACAACAAATTTAAAAACAAAAAAACAACCAGAACTCATAGAAAATTGAACTGTATGGAGATCTGACAACAAAGGAGTTAAAGAAACATTCATCCAGACCGGTAGGAGGGGCGGAGACAGGCAGCTGGGGTGGAGAGGACTCTGGGCAAGGCAGTGGCTGGATGACGGGGGTGGGTGAGGTGGCGGCCAGTGGAGTGGGTGGTCCCACATTCTCCTGCAGATAAACCAGGAGGAAAAATAGGGAGCAAGACAGACCACACAGCCCGCGGTTTCAGTGCGGGAAGATAAGGACTCAAAAACCTATGATAGAAAACACCTGTGGGCATTGAGGCAGGTAGAGAAACTCCCAGCCTCACAGGAGAGTTTGTTGGAGAGACCCACTGGGTCCTAGAACACACACAAACTCACCCACCTGGGACTCAGCACCAGAAGGGCCCAATTTGCTTATGGGTAGTAGAGGCAGTGACAGAAAGCTGGTGGAGAGCCCAGCAAGTGGCATTATTCCCTCTGGGACCCCCACAGCATCACAAGGCAACGAGGTGGTTTGCCCCACCCGGTGAACACCTAAGGCTCCGCCCCTTACTACCTAACAGACATGCCAAGACAAAAAAAAAAAAAAAAGGCCCAAATGAAAGAACACATCAAAGCTCTAGAACTAAATACAACTGAACAATGAAGAGGTAGCCAACCTATCAGAAGCAGAGATCAAAACACTGGTGATCACGACATTCACAGAAATGGTTGAGTATGGTCACAAAATAGAGGAAGAAGTGAAGGCTATGAAAAGTTAAATAAAGGGAAAGGTACAGGGGACCCACAGTGACAGGGAGGAAACTGGGACTCAAATCAACATTTTGGACCAGAAGGAAGAAATAAGCATTCAACCAGAACAGAATGAACAAACAAGAATTCACAAAAACAAAGAGAGGCTTAGGAACCTCTAGGACATCTTTAAATGTTCCAACATCCAAATCCTAGGGGTACCAGAAGGAGAAGGGGAAGAGCAAGAAATTGAAAACTTCCTTGAAAACATAATGAAGAAGAACTTCCTCAATTTGACAAAGGAAATAGACTTCCAGGAAGACCAGGAAGCTCAGAAAATCCCCAAGAAGTTAGACTCAAGGAGGAACACACCAAGGCACATCATAATTATATTACCCAAGATTAAAGATAAGGAGAGAATCTTAAAAGCAGCAAGAGATAAGGAGACAGTTACCTACAAAGGAGTTCCCATCAGACTATCAGCTGATTTCTCAAAAGAGACCTTGCAGGCAAAAGGGGCTGGAAAGAAGTATCCCAAGTCATGAAAGACAAGGACCTACATCCAAGATCATTCTACCCAGCAAAGCTATCATTTAGAATGGGAAGGCAGATAAAATGCTTCCCAGATAAGGTCCAGTTATAACAGTTTATCATCACCCAGCCCTTTTTATATAACATGTTAAAGGGGCTTATCTAAGAAAAAGATAAAAAATATGAACAGTAAAATGACAACAAACTCACAACTATTAACAACTGAACCTAGAAACAAAAACAAAGTAAGCAAACAACTAGAACAGGAACAGAATCACAGAAATGGAGATCACATGGAGGGTTATCAGTGGGGAGGGGAGGAGAAAAAAATGGGGGAAAAGGTACAGGGAATAAGTAGCATAAATGGTAGGTACAAATAGACAGGGGGAGGGTAAGAATAGTACGAGAAATGGGGAAGCCAAAGAACTTATATGTATGACCCGTGGACGTGAACTAGGTGGGGGAAATGCTGGTGGGAGGGAAGGTGGAGGGCAGAGGGGAGTGAAGGGGAGAAGAGAAGGGGAACAACTGTAATAGCATAATTCATAAAACAGATTTTAAAAAATAAAAAGGAAAGAAAGATAAAGAAGAAAGGAAGGAAGGAAGGAAGGAAGGAAGGAAGGAAGGAAGGAAGGAAGGAAGGAAAGAAAGAAGGAAGGAAGGAAGGAAGGAAGGAGAAAGAAAGGAAGAAAGAAAGAAAGAAAGAAAGAAAGAAAGAAAGAAAGAAAGAAAGAAAGAAAGAAAGAAAGAAAGAAAGAAAGAAAGAAAGAAAGAAAGAAAGAAAGAAGTCTAGTTGGACATTGTTATCTCGATTCTGGCTTCTCAGTAGTTGCTGTTTACGGCACACTGTACACATAATTTTAAAATGGACGTATGTGTAATTCTTTCCCTTTCGACCCACTGGTTTCAGGAGACTTTGATTATTGCAACGCTGCTAAGGTGGCTGCTTTAACATCTGTACCAGATCATCTGAGTGTGGGGCGAATTCAGTGCTGGGGTTGGTTGATTGCCTTTCCTCATTCGCGTTGTAAGGGCCCTGCTTCTCGGCGGAAGGTGTGGTTGAGATTTTGTGTATTGGGAGCATCTTGGTTTCACATCATCGATCTCTGCGGGAGTCCTCTTGTTTGGGGCCAACGTGCGGGCCGTGACTCGTGGAGTTGCTGCTCCGTTCCTGCCGGTCGGCTTGGTGTCCTGCGTGTCCCTGCTTTTCCCCTGGCACTTCCACTGCTGCTGGAAGCTCAGAGGGTGTGTGCCCGCCCACCTGCTCTGTGCCCTTCATGTGGCAGTGGGCAGGAAGGGCCCCTCACTGCCGAGATGTCCCTGGAATGGGTGGCTGAGTCCCAGGTACTGGGGACAGGGTCTTCCGGGGTTGAGGAGTGACCCTCTGTAAGTAACATGGGTCAGAAAACAAACCCCATGGGAACTCAGAAAATACTTTGAGCTAATTAACCCCAAATGCAGCTTACTAAATGTATGGCTCGCCACTGAGGCCGCAATTAGAGGGGAATTTACAGCTTTATTGTGTTTGTGTTAGAAAAAAATGACATTTAAAAATCAATGCTCCAAGCTTCTTTAAAAAGTTGGAAAGGAAGAGAAATTTAAATACAAAGTAAGAAAAATGTAGAAAAATAGAGACAACCACGGTATCAATTCAATAGAAAGTGGACACACTATGAAGAAAATCAATAATACACAAGTTTGGTACTTTGAGCAGGTCAATCAAATCAATAAATTTTAATCAGATCAATCAAGAACATGAGAGAGGGAATACAAATGATCAATATAAAGAGTAAAAGAACCAATGTCTTTTTAACTTCCTACAACCACTAAAAAATTTATGAATAATGTATGTCAGTATTTTCCACAACATAGGTGAAATACAAAATTTCTTTTACATATGCAAATCACCTAAACCGACTCAAGTAAATCTGAATAGCCCATATCTAATAAAGAAGATACATTTGTAATTAAACATGCTTTTCCAGAAAGAAACTTCTAGGCCAAATATCTTCACTGGTAAATTCTATACAGCATCCTTCTGGGTGACTGAAGAAAATGGCAGTAGC